TTTATAACATATAGGTACATATATTATGTCATCAAAATGACGTAGCATACAAAAATAAATTAAAGTTCTATATTTATATTATTGGATACGTCACACACTAAATAATAAAAATTATATTATATATCTAATACAAATTATGTATATTGTTTTATACATAAAAATTTCCTGAATATTATTGGTTCTCAATAATGTACGTAGGTACTTATGTATATGTGCGTATGCATATTTATTCCAAAAATTTATTGATATAATAATTTAATAGCAAAAGATCACCAGATATCAAAAAATTAAAATCTTAAAACGCAAATAATCTATTTATATACATATGTACATATGTGATTACATTAATAATATTATGAAAGTTAGTCTACTATAACGGGAATATCATCTCATGTTTATATTTGGTGAATGCTTCTAACATGAAAATATTTTTATTTCAACATTAATAAATGACCTATCTGTTTCCTTTTTATCCCAAATGAACTGAATATCCCTTCCTCTGAAATAATCAGAAAAAAAAATGTTCCCATTTTTAAAGAAAACTAAGCATTCAATTTAAAAAAATGTGTATGTAGATACTTATGTAATTTTTACTTCTAATTGTAATACATCCACACATTTATACATAGTTTAAATTACTCACAATCATCATCCACAGCATTTTGTGTTAAATATTATACATAACAACAACATATGATATAAAAAATAAATAATATTGAGCTTAATTTAGGTACCATGCAGTATTTACCATATGTATAACAATAAAAAAGAGAGCTTTAAGCATTTTATCTTCATGAATGGTATCGTAATTATATTTTTGTGCAATTTATGTTTTGATTTTTGCAATTTTTTTTTTCATTCGGTTGTTGATCTTCATTTTATTTTTAACGGAGTTGGTGAAATTAAACCCAATATAAATTAAATAATATGTAATACAATATGTAATTAAAATTACATTATAAGTCTAGTTATAACAATATTTGTATAAATATATTATGTAAATCCATAAAGGTAAATATGTTCCTGAGAACATGTTTCGAGTTCGATATGCCCCATTTCATAATACTTATGGATATGGAACTTGTTTACATATTTCTCCATGCACGTGCCTAAATAAAATGTATAGCATTGTAGGTATTCTTGCATAAATGAAAGCATATCAAAATATGCTTAACGTATATACATGTGTATGTTATTAGGGAAAAAGCATAAAACTGAATGTAATTTGTACTGAAAAAGCATAAAATTAAATGTAATTTGCATTAACTTTAATTTGTGAGTACTTAAAATAGGTATAAATTTCCACATATCTACGATACGTTGTATGTATGATCATCAATTTTGTAGCAGCAATATTTGATTTGAACTTCATTTGTGATATTAACATTATATCATATCACATTATACAATTATGTTCCATCGTTACACTTATAGTGTTACAGGCTTGTATAAATTTATAAATCTCTAAATTAGTGTAAACACTATGTATTTGTAAAATCTTTTCGACAGTTTTTGATAGACATTCGTAATTGTTTTACCGAATTCTACTTCGGCATGAAATATAAATTTCGTTCGTGCATTTATATTATGTATGTAAGTATGTGTTGTTATATTATATTTAATTTAATAACTTAATCATTAATTTATAATATAAAAAACTTAAATGTGTATAAATAGAATGAATATATTTTCAAACTTTTAATTAACCATGTTTTCGTATTTCATCTTTATTCAATCTAAATATTTCGAGTGGAAATTCACATGCGATGTGTAATAATGTTCAAAGTCTTTAAATTTAACCTTGGTCTACAGCACTCTTTTTAATATGTTATGTAAAAAGTATAAAATTTTATTTGTATTTGTTTTCTTATTTCTTGGAAAAGTTTAACTTATAGAACCTTGTAAAAATTTGAAAATTGAAAGCATAAAAAATAGGTGCAAAAAATGTATATACATTACACACATATGTACTTATGTATATGCAAATTACAAATGCAAGTAAAGAAAAACAATCAACATTATTGTTTGATATTTTTTATTTTCTCATTAAATCATACAGTTTGCTGTTAAAAATATCAAAGTTTTTTCCCAAATTAAATTGTTTCAAGTGCCCTTACACGTGTATGTACATATGTATATAAATTTTTGGATTTCTAAAGTTTCAAAATATACAGTTTAACTATAACAAAAGTTAATCACGCAAAATTATCACGATAGTACAAATATAGCTTTTGTTATACAGAAAAAAATAGAACAAACGAAATTATCATGTGGTCATTTCCAAAAAATTCATTTTTATTTACTAGCTTAAGCAGCTACTTTAGGTCTGAATTCGTTTTCTGCTGTTTTACCTAATTTATCTTTTCCAGAACATACATCCATAAGTATATATTTCCAAGAAATTAACATCATAGTGACGACATCATCTATGATATTGTTTAATGGAATGTTTCTATTATATTACAATACAATATCTGAGTAATGCACTTACATATGTATATTTAGTTCAAATTTTTTTGCGTTATAATCATCCCTTCCATTTTTATGCAAATATACTCCTTCAGGAACTTATTCATTATAAATGCAATTCCGGAATTGATTTTTAAAATTTAAAAACAAAACTTTAAATAACTAAATTTCATAAGAAAGGATCAACTAACTCCAGATTAAAAAATTTAACCCAGATCAAAGAAAAGTAAAAATTATAAATAATTCACACATATGTAGGTATATTGGAAAGGATCACAAACGAAAAATTAAAATAAATCATTTGTGTATATACATATTTATGTATGTACATATAAATGGAGTTTATGAAAATTATTTTTGTAAAACAAAACTAAACTGCTTTTCATTATGTAAGAACATAATTTAATTTATAATTTTACATAACAAATTACATATGTAATTTGCTTAATACGATAAAATATAATGAGCGAAAATTATTTAGTATGTATTATGAAATTCATTAAATAATATACATATGTAAGTATATACATATGTATAAATCTATTTGTAAAACAGTTCAGTCGTTAATAACAAAAAAGTGTGTAGGCGATATGCATATTAAAATTCAACAAGCAAATACGACACTTTTTAATGAGATACATATGTATGTATTTTTATTCTTAGTAAAAAATTTCATCTAAATTATTACCATGAGTCATAATGATAAAAAAAATTGCCTGTTACCTATGTATCTACATATGTACATGTTAAATTGAATCTGCTGTTATCAAATTCATTGTCAAATCAAAGTGTACGGATACAAGTTATCACAGTTCGATTGCAACTAACATCATGTTTTGATTTAAAAACAAAAGAACCTTGATTGATTTTCTTCATAACGTTTTTAATTTTCTTAAAACAAAGGGAAAAAATTTGTAACTGTATATTTCTTTTTATTAATTACTCCTGTCAATTCAAAAGAATAAAATAAATAAAAATATTTTTTGACTTATTAATTAGTTAAAATCAATTTTTTATATATTTTTAATTAGTTAAAAAGCTGTTGCTTGAACAAAATAAACATATGAGCATCACATGCTTGCAGGCAACCTTGAGATATTAGTTTTGCCAGGTTTTACCCAGCTTATTTTACCGCACAAAATGTGTTTACATATATGTACATACAACAAAAACATATGTTTATATGTAAATAAATTACAAATATGTACATATGTATATAAAATACAACAAGAGGAAATTTCCATTTTGTTCAGAAGAGAAACTACTTTTTCGGAATTGGTAGTCTTTTATTTCCCTGGTCTAGTAAAACAAATCAAGCTTCATAACCTAAAGCGATAGCCATTTTAAAATCTTGTAATGAATACTCGTAATAAGCAACTAAAGGTAGAATTTTGATTACGTAGTTAGAAACTTAGGCACATAGTGTACAAAATTCTAAAGATATACATATGTATGTAGATAAAAATAGAAAATTTTATTTAAAAAAAACCTTTTGCTCTTACATAATTATGCACTTATTAAAATCAACGTAGAATATTGCGCTTAATATATACATATTTAAGTGTCTATTCAGCAGAAAATTCTTTCAAGTGATTAGGAAATTCATACAGAATTATTAATTTAGTAGAAACCATTGTTCAAATTCTTTCAATCTAATTGGGTTAAATGTTCATATTTTACGTATGTTTTAACTTTAAACTTCTTCTTTTCGCGATATAATCATTTTTATAATACAAGTGTATGAAAAATAATGGAACATAGAGCGCAAATTTTTTTTAAAGTTTGTGCTATTTTGATTTATATCCATAACTTTTTGATCCACGTTATAAAAAGTGAAAATCTTTGATCAAAAAGTGGATCAAAATCGCACTGGACCTTCTCTAATTAATTTGCAATAATTCTAGATCCCTTTGCCGAAATTGAACAAAACTTTATAGTCAAACTCAAAAACTATTATCTTATTATCTTAATAATGAATTATTTCTAGTTAAAAATTCTTATCACATAATTGAGTTTTTTAAAGTTCGTTATTATATTTTGTTGTTTTTTTTTTTTTAACTTCGTTACCTTTTTTTAAAAAACAGGTAAATTATACTATAACATAGTTTGTTTAATTCACTTTTTGTTTCCATACATTTTTTTTCCGCCTCAAAGGACAATTCCAAAAATTTCTGGAACTAAAAATGTCGTATCTGGGGGCCTTAGTGTATGTACAATTCCCAAAAATTTTCATAAAATATTTGTAACAAAATTTATTCTTTAAACACAAACATTCGCCACTTTCTGTGTTCGCCGTGTTCGTAAAAAAATAAAGGAATATTGAAAAAAAATTTTAATACTTCTGTTTAAGCGCAAGAATTCTTTCAAAAACAATAAAATTGTGCAAAATTCTTCGTATAAGCATTGGAAGATATTTAATTGCTTCAATTTTAATTTTTCAATAAATTAAACATTTTGCAAAATAAATCTAAAAATAGGTACTTTTAAAGAGTTTTCTATCATTCAATTTATCATAAAAATAAAAATCAATATTTGGTTGAACTTTTATGTCTATTAAAATATTATGTTTTGTTTTGTTACAGGATTAATAACGTATACATAATAAAACAAAATTTTTATCAAAACCCTTCGGGGCTGCAGTTTAAAGAAACCTTAGTCCGGAAAAACAAAAATAAATTTTCTATAATGTAGAAAGGCTGATCTTAATTAAATGCATATGTTTTTATAAATCAGATCAAATATTCATACCTTATACCTATGTTATTATAATACTTACAAAACTTATTGAATTGAATAAAATAATTTGAAACAAATTTTTCTTTTATTATGCAGATGTGCGAATTAATACACATACAATCATATGTATGTAGTTTAACTTATAAAGTATTTTCCTTTTCTGCTTTTCCGCCATTGTGCGTGTTTAAAATAAGTGTTACGTGCATTACTCCGATATAACTTACCAAAGTATGTGCATTGTTGATAGGTGAAAATTGATACATAAATTTGTTTGCTATTTTTGAGGTTGCATGCAAATGCGTTCGCCCACTTGTTTATGTCATGTTATACTCTTGCTTTTTGCTCTTTCTCCATTTATACTAAATAGTTTTTTTTTAATTTGCACATTTTAATTTTTTTTTGTTGTTGAAACTTTTCTGAACTCGAATCTAATGAAGCCGACAATAAAATAAATCTTCATCTAGATATTTTTTCAACCATTTAGCTCTCTTTTATTTTTTCCAAGCGCCTTATTGAGAGCATGAAACATTGTTAAAATATAAAAAACTGTCATTTTTTTCCATTGGTGATTTTTCAGCTTACATAAAGGCAAAACTTATCTTGCTCATAACGGCTGTTTGTATCCAAACATTAAATGATTTAATATTAAACAATTACACTTTCAATATTATGAATAATCTTATGCGAAAAATTTTATTAGGTGAAACTGGCTCTGTCGGAATTCATATTTCGAAATAGTAAATGAGATTGTCTTTCATAATAGCCAGCCCCTTCAGGTTTAATATTAAATCCATGTGTTTTCATGTGCATATATAGTCCGGGTGATTGTGCTGTAAAATAAAAATAAAGTAACAAATACATACATATTTACATTGAAATGAATAAAAATTCTAAAGGATTTGAAAATATTCATAACTTGCCAAAAGCCTTTCCGCAAATTTTGCAAACATATTCTTTTAATCCAGTGTGCAGCTTTTGATGTTTGGTTAAGGTTATTTTGCGACTAAAGCTCTTTGAACAAATTTCGCAAACAAAAGGTTTGTAATCAGGATTATGCGTTATTAAATGTTTATTAAGGTCACCTCTTTCGACAAAAGTCATACTACACTTATCACACTTTACCGGCTTTAAATTCAAATGCCTCCTCATATGATATTTCAAATTAAACGTAAATGAAAAAGACTTCCCACATAAATCACACATAACGGAATTGGGCTTTTCTTTTAAATGCGAGTAACGAATATGACGTTTTAAATCAACACATCTGCTATATTCTTTATTACAATGCTCGCATTTATATTCTTTTTTTGAATTGTGAATTTGTTGATGAGACGCTAATGTGTACTTGTTATAAAACCCACGATTACATACTAAGCACTTAAATGGAGATCGGCCCGTGTGCCTCATTAAATGAAGATCTAGACCGGCACCCGTACTCAAATATTTTCCACAAATTTCGCATTGAATTTTATTTTTATTTGTACGTACTATATGTAATTTCTCGTGAGATTCAATTTCATCCAACTTAGAAAATTCTAGTTCACAATTGGGGCATTGATACATACCATTTTCATTTTTCTCTTTGAGTTTTACGGATGCCTGCTTCAAGATGTTTTTGGATTTACCTTGACATATCTTTTGATGTCTTACTAAGTTTGCAAATTTTTTGTATTTAACATTGCATTTTCCACATGTAAAAGTATTATTATCCCCAATTTCCACGGCTTTAGTTTTGCATTTTAAATTGGATTCATCATTTTTATTCAGCTTTTCATTGTATTGCATGATAGGCTTCGAAAAACACATTGAATCTACGTGCATGCTATCGCTTACAATGTTTTTGACATCTCGACTGTCTGAATTACTTAAATTATCTTCTAAATCGTTTTTCGGATTGTTAACAACGTTTTGAATAAGATGAGAACTCAATTTATTGTGCCCAGCAGCTTCTATCGAGCTTTTATTACAGGACTTTTCGTGCTTGTCTGCCAAGTTAATTTTTTCAACAGATTTACCATTATAATCGCACAAATATGTTGATTTGTCATAAAAAATTTGAGTATTATATCCGTGATTTTTACTCATTGTGCCATTTTTATCTTTTGATTGAGTACATATTAAATTTTTTACGATTTCAGATTTCATACATTCCCCATACCCCATGATTTCAGGCCCCATACATTCTTCATAATTTTTAATAGTCTCATTTTCTAGGGGAGATTTGATTTCAGATTTAAATTCTGATTCTTCCTTTTTGGTAACATACGCAATGGAAGATACCCCTGTTCTCGTGTCAATTTCGCATGGAGTACATTTTTTCGTACTGAAAGTTTTACTACATGATAGCTCATTGAGTTCTGATATGGGATCAACATGTTCTGAGATATGCTCTGAAAAATGCTGTTTTACATGATTCGCAATAAGACTAATATTTTTGATGCTCAGACTTTGCTTGCAGATTTTGCATTTGAATTCACAAAAGCCATTACTAAACTCTATAAATTCACCCAAATCTTTAACTTCATTTTTTAAATATTTTCGTCCCATTTTGTAAAAAATAAAAAAAAATAGACTTCAAAATTTGAAAACATTAAAGATTAAGAGATAAAATTAATTTTTATTCTTTACAAAATCATAGCCAAAAATTACAAACAAAAAAGAAAACAAGTAAAATTGACAGCAACTGTTGCTATCGCAAAATATTTTCTTCTGTTATTTCATTCCATTCACAATATACAATTACAGAAAATGCAATGTAGCTACATAAATTTTTATTCCAAAACGTTACAATCTTTAATTAGTGCAAGGATGTTTAGTTGTGAAGCTTATTCCTTACTATAAACTATAAAGTATAAATTAATAGGTTTGAAGTAATAAAAGAATTAAAAATTGTACTAAATACCAAAACATTTTTACCTTTGATTCACACACAATTACGTAACATAAATACATGAAAATTCTTGTTAAAATTTTAACCCTGTTTCTCTTTCACCGATTTCTATAAGCGATTTATTAAACTTTGTCGGTTTGAAATAAAGCATTATAAAAATTTTATATTAAACTTTTATCTACTATAATTTTTCGTTTTCTCTTCTATTTGATTAAAATAATATGAATTGCAGCAATGTTAAAACTTTCTTTTTCAAAAATGTTCTGTAGAATATTTTTAACGATAAGAAAAAATTGATCTACAACGTTTTTAAAGACTTTTTCTTTTTTATGAAAACGTTTTTATAAAACAACCAATATTAACTATACTTAACTAAAATAAAGTAATTAATAATAATAATAACTTAACTAAAATAAAGTATTTAATAATTAATAATAAATACAAAGTTGAAGAGGGAAAAAAAGTAAAATTAAATATTTAAATTCATACTCGATATTGAGTACATACTATATGTAGATACATACATACTTAAATAAGAAATAAATAAAATACAGAACGCAAGAAATATCACTCAAGTTTGTAATACTGCTCTAACATAAGTGCTAACGTAAGTTTGTTTATATTTAATTTTGACATTGTGATACCAATTTTTGTCTAAAAGCAATAAATTTTGGAAATGTAATTTTTATTCTAACTTGTTTTCATAAGTTATAACAGCAAAAATCAAAAAATTTCTGTTTTCAAAAATGTTCGTAGTCATTTATATCCTAACAATAATTTTATCAGATGTGCTGGCCGCAAGTATAAGTAATAATGAACAATCAATTTGGAACGACTTTAAATCAAAAAATATAAAGTATCAGTTTTTCATACAATTCGGCAAAGAATCGAAATGTTTTAGAGAAGACGATGCCAATTTTGATATTTTTTTCCAAGCGTTGAGTGGGGCTCTAAATTCTGCAAATACAAAAACATTATCTGGCCCTGAGAAGGAAACAGACTTAATAAACTACCAAGAAACTTTGAGAAGTAGGGCTAATGAAACAATATTCTGCGCGGAACTTCATGATAACATGCCACAGGACTCCAAGTTTGCAAAATTATTACTGCATGACGAAACGTGTTTAGCATTTTGTTTTTGCAAATCTGGTCTTTTAAAAGAAAAATTGCCAGACAAAGGATGTTCCCTTTTGCACTATATTTACACCAAAATTAAAACAGAAAAAAATATTCAAGACAAGAAAAATGTTGGCAAGACATCTGAAGTAAACGAAGAACCAAAGGCAACCGAATCTGAAGTAAAAAAGGCCGACGATATAAAAACTGATATAATAGAAGAAACTTCGAAATCTTCAAAGTTGCCGGATCCTGAAGTTACACAAAAAAAAACTGAATTGGCTCAGGCCGATTCCAAGTCGGAAACGTCTTCTAAGAAGCCAGTAACTAAAGATATCACACCTGAAGTGGTATCAAAAGCTATCGAGAATACAAAAGGTATAAATACCGTGTCTAATAATATATCACCAAATGAAGATGACGCTAATGCGTTTTATGCAGCTAAAACTGAAAAGCCTATTGAACAAGACAAAAATGCCAAAGCGAATAACGAAGATCTAATTCCATCTTTACCTTTTCAACCTGATAACGAAGAAAGTTATGAGAATGAGGAGGAAAATATCCAAAATACTGATAATAATATACCTAAAGTTGAACAAAGTCAATCTTATCACAATATAAACGACAATGAATTCCAAAAACCAATAATTTCAACAAAATATTATACTGTACAAGAGGATGCCGGTTCAAACTTTTTCACATATCTTTTTATGGCGATGTTTTTAACTATAGTATTTTATGTTATATATCATAACAAAACTAAAATTTTAGCTTTAATGTTAGAAGGACGTCGTGGAAAATCTGGTAGGGGTAGGAGAAAACATACAGCTTCATACAGCAAGTTGGATAGTAATCTAGAAGAAGCAATTTCATCCCCGTATAGCGGTAGAAGTTCTCAAATTATATATTAATGCGCTAGGTGATCATAAATACCATAGAAAGGAAATTGTAATAAACTTAGGTAGCTCTTTGGTTTTTAGATTATTAGTAAAAGAAAAGTAGAATATTGAAATAAACAAAATTACAAAACAATCACGTAAATACAACGGATCATAAAAGTAGATACACATTTCAATCTTTTTAAGAAAAATTTACTAATTGAATTTCATGATCACACATTATTCTGTGTACATATTTAAAGTTCATTAAAGGATTGCGTCTTAGCACAAAAACCGAAGAAAAGTTTTTAGAATTTCGAATAGAATTAATTCAATTAAATCTACTTTAACATAAAAAAATACCACTTCATTTAATTTTTCATTTGTGTATATTGTAGTCGCTTCTCATCAAATTCATAGTGCCTGTTTACATTATTTATACTCTTGTTTAAAATTATCTAGAGACGATCTCACTAGATCTTTAATATTTTCAATACTGGAATTGGAAAAAAAATATTAAAGGGACTTTTTTTTCATTGAACTATTTAAAAAGCAGAAATATAATTTTCGCTATATGCATATGTATGTATATAAATTTTTTCATTTTAACTTAAAGTAATTTAATTTTTTTGCCCACATACTCAAAATTCCAAATGAATGAAATAAAAAAATATGTATGTGAAACTTTAAATTTTGTTTTCAATATTTTGGTGTCATTCATCTATTTTGATAAAAATAAAGAAAATTCTTACCTACAACCGTTAATAAAATTGTTCGGACCATCTATCAATCAACCATTTTCCAATCTAAAAGTAATTTTCCGGAATTTTTTCCGTTAATGTAATAAATATAGAAAAACTCAAAAAATGAATAAAAATCAAAATTGAGTAATTTTGTCAAATTATTGAATTTATTTTTTTACAGCTATATATAAAATGTTTCTTTATTTTATAATTTTTATTATAAGTATTGTTTTAATATGAGTTATTTTTGGTATTAATTTTAATAATTTATATTTATATTTAAAACACCAATAATGATCAAAGGGCTGTAGTAGCATTTTTTATTCACCAAATAAAAAATGACGACAATTACAAGTGCCTTTATAGAATAAAAATAGTTTAAAATGCTTACTTTTTTTCGTGCATTTTATTTTCATATTTAATTTTGAGTTATCCAACATAAAAATATTTACACACTATTTGGATAAATTCAAAGATGCGTTAATACGCATCATATAATACGCATATTACATTATATAAATCAGTTTTGGTTATCCCATTTATGGTCAAAACCAATAATTTTAAATTTCATATTGTTTTAATTTCCTTCTATTTGTTTCATATTTGTAGGTCCTTGTTAAGTTTACACGTTTCCAAATACAATTTTAACACACCTTTGACTCTTTCGTAAACGTTGACGTTGAACATATAATTGATTTTTCTTTCTTTTGCTAACAATATTTGGCCATTTAACTGAAAAACTTTTTGTGAAAATTTTCAAAGTTTGGTAGAAAAATGAGAAAATCAATTTAATTTGTCCAATATTAAATTTTTTCAGTGGCGAGTTTTATTTTGTTGTGCTTATAATACCTTGAAATATTAAACTTTTAAAATATCATAATATACTGTTTTAGTTACTAATATTTCAGCTGTTTACAATTACCATTGAAAAACATGATGGTGCAAAGTTGGCTATAATTGATAATTCTTTTAGTTTTACATAACATTATAGTTCTAATATTTTTAGGAAAAATTCAAAAATTGGATGGTTACTCTTGGGAACTCTTAATTATAAAAAAGCATATCCAGTCGTAAATGAATAAAGACTATTTCATTAGAATATGTGTGCATATTTTGTATACAGTTTTTAACAAAAAATTAGTAATTTTTGTTTTACTATCAGGTTCATATGTATGTATATAAAATAATATATGTATATGCATTGTAATATTGAGAATAATATTGAATTTGAACGATTCTAAAAATTTCAAGATTCTAAGAACTTATGATTTAAGAATGATTCTATGAAGTAATATCGTTATTTATCACTCAATCATTAAAATCTAATTTATATTTGAATAAAAATTAAATAAAGATTTGATTATCTTATGATAAAGAATCTTATGCGTATTAAACTAATGTTTTTTTTTTGTTTTACTCTTTACATGTAAAGTTTCACACATCATCACTTGCTTTTTGTTAAACAATATTATATACAACTTTAATTTTTTAATGTTATAATTATTTATCAGTTTTTTTTTATGTATGTATAACTAAAATTAAAACTAAATCTTCAAAAATAAAATTAAAATTGTGTCCTATTTTCATGAAGTTTTTCCATTTCTTTTACCATTTGATTTAACATTAGAATTATTTCTTCGTTTACGCTTCTCTGATATTTCTTCGTCATCATCATCATCACTAGCATGAGTTCCATAATAGGTTGTTCCTTCTCGCGTAGCTAATCTCTGTCTAGTTAACCTGGATGCCTGCCGACATGGTTGCATGCCTGAAATTTAAATATAAAATATCTTGATAAATATGTTCGTGTATAAATATTCCACGTTTCTATTAAATGCAGAATTATGTTAATTTGCATACATAAATATTTTAATGTTTGCTTTCCCGAGATAAAATTCAAATCAATTCTTACCCATACATCTTTGCAAATGCGTAGCAAACGTTGATGCCGCAACAGTTCTTCCACAATGAGAACATATACACTCGGTAGACTTTTTTGTTGGAGGATTACGATCAAAAACATTAAATATAGAAGAATTTTCTCCCGAATATGGTGCGCAATTCTTAGACTGTTCCTCTAAAGCTACAAATAAAGGATATTTTAATTAAAATTTTTCTCATATAAACAAAAAATTTACCATCGTCCAATAAACCAAGACGCCAAGCATGATGAACTTCCAAAACAAGTCCTAAAATCATATCGTCTACTAGAGAATGATAGAGGTAGTTCGCGGCAGTATCCTTTGAGGTGGGATGAACAGTCAAGAATTGCTTAAACTCTTTTAATAATTCAGCTTCGCTTGAATAACCTATTTTCTTTTCCGTCGCAGAGCCAGTCGAATTCACATTTTGACTCATGTTCTTAAGTACAAAAAATGAATTCAGTATTTTTTTTATTTAATTTTTGAGACTTTTTTACGTAATAGCTCATAGGAACATTTTCACACTATTTCATTTCTTTATATACAATAATTGAAATATATGTAAAGTAACTACATAGTTGTTTTAATAAATTTAATTTGAATTACCTTTTATGCCCGTGATTATTTTTTCTTCATTTATTTAATGTTGCCCTTGCAATATTTCTTAATGAATACAACAAAATGGTTGGAATATTTTTAATAACTTATTAACAAATGTTTAAGTTTTTAATATTTTTTAATTTCAGACTTAGTATTTAAAAGTTTACTCTTTTCAATATATTATTTTCCATGCTGCAATGCAAATGCATATTGTAATTCTACGAGTGTCACAGTCATTCATTAAATTAAAGCAAATTTGATAATTGATTGATATATTTGAAGTGAAATTCTACACCAGAGTCACCTGCATTATTTTATAACAAACAACTTACTTAAGGTTCAAAATAATAAAGCTAAGTACATACATTAACAAATAAATTTTTTGGATATTATGTATATTTTGTTTACCTTGTTTGAGTTATACAACACTCGGACAATGTTCAGAAGAAAATTATATTTTTATAAAGCAAATTTCTTTTTTAAATACATTTTAAATAGATAATTGCAGAAAATTTCAAAAATGACAAATACTTTGTCATATTTTTTTTAACAAAGGGAGTGGAGTTGATTTTTTTTTCAAAGTAGATTCTGGAATATCAAAAAATATGTCGTTCTTTATTTTCTGTCTTCTGAATTCTGCGTTTCTTTTGACATCATTGGTCCTTTTTTTCTGTGTGTGTGACATATAATACTAAACAGCTGATTTTGCCGTCCTGCTGTTGTTCTGTGTTAATAACGAAGATCTTTCGCCTTATTCGTCCTCCGCTTTGATTCTGTTTTCACATTTACTGCGAAGAATGCAGGTTTTTTCTAAAACGCAATTTAATTATATCTTTATATACTATTCCATACATATGTAAATGATTTATTATAAATTTTGTGAATAATAATTTACATATGAAATAAAATAAATATAGCATCAGAATTTTTTTGGCAGACTTATCAGAAAAAACATTGATTAATTCATATAAACCAGTTGGAAACGAGATGCTGTTGAATTTTTTTTGTTTCATTTTAAATCAACTGTTCAGAAAATTTGTTAAAGTTGTTAAAAATAAATTCAAATCTGAAAAATTCCTTGCAATGGTCGCAAAAAATAAAAAACAAAATTTTTCATGTTAATAATTTTATTGGTAGCTAATTAGCATCTTATACATGAATGCAATTCAACATATTGATATGTGCTCGGCTATTTTTAAAGTTGTGTGTTGACTTTATTCAAGCGTTTATATGAAGCTTGAAGCCGATTTCAAGCGGATTTTGAGCTCATATAAACGTACTTGACTCGAAGTAATCATATCTAGTAGATCCGACAAAATTATTAGCTTGAAAAATCAACTTCATATACATGGTAAGATTGAAAATGACAAATTAAAATATAATGCTTGTCGACCAATGTCAAACTCAAGCTGATTTCAAGTAATATTTATTTGAATTTGTAAAGTAGTTCGCAAATTGAAAATTCAAGTCAAGTATTACCTACACGATTGGTTTTGACAGTTGTAACTTTAATAAAAAGACATTTTCATAATATTATTTTAATAAGTTTGAAAAACGCAATTGCATGTCTATTCAATGTATCGAAGAAACCCTGCTGGCTTGTGTATTTGATACCTCTTGTCACACATAGAGCTAGAACTTTGAAGTTTACATAAATAACACAAACAATTATTCTAATTAAATTTAAATATTTCTATTGCTAATTTAAGAATAAATTAATATATAATACATTTTTTTCTTCATAATATTTATATTGATTATATTACGTTTCATTGTTTATTTATTATAATGGCCACATTTGATGATAAACTATTGGGAGAAAAATTACAATACTATGTTAGTGAAAGTGAAAGCGAGGACGAAGAAGTTATAGGCGCTTGTTCTAATAAACCTGAGCTAGATCAAAACAAAACTCATTGGTCAGGTACTTCGGTAAATACAGGTCCAAAAGGTGTTGTTGAAGATTGGCAAAAATTCAAACAAATGCAAGCAGAAATGCGAGAAGAAAATGAACGGCAAAAGGTCGAACTTGCTAAAAAATTAAGCATGACTGTTAGAACATACAAAGAAGACTTGAAAAAGGAAGAAGAAGAGGAGTTAGAAAGGGAAATGGTAAGGAAATGTGATTTTAATATATGTTTAGGCATGGTAAAGGAATGATATACTTTACCTTTTACGTTAACAGATATTCATATATATACATGTATTCATACATTGTATTTATTATTTCCGTTTCATTGCTTTAAGGCTGAACTTATGAATGACGATATATTACTGCAATTTCAAAAAAAAAGAATGATGGAAATCTTAGCTTCTTCTGGCGAACTTAAACAATTTGGAAAAGTTTTTGAAATAAATACTACGGCTGAATTTCTTGATTGTATTGAAAATGAAAGCAAGCACGTAATAATTATAATTCACGTTTATGATAGAAATGTAGCAACATGCAGAGAAGTTAATAAATGTTTGGATGTCTTAGCTTCTGAACATATTACAACAAAATTTTGTAAAATATTATGTTCAATAACTGGAATGAGCCACAATTTTCGTGAAAATGGATTGCCAGCTATATTAGTATATAAAGCAGGAGCTATGATTGGAAATTTCGTTCAAATAACAAAGGAAATTGGAGATGATATTTTTCCATCTGATCTAGAAAATTATTTAATAGAAAATGACGTTTTAACTGAAAAGATAAATCGGTAAATTTTTGCAATAGGGAATTGATAATAGTAACCAAATACCTACTTCTAGAATTAATTGAATACATTTATTAATTAAAAAATATATGTATATAAAAAAGTTATGTATAATTTTATAAAAATATTATTAATATCGTACCTATCTACCCTTTAACTTAAAAAATTTACTTATAAAAATGGTACTTAAGCATTAATATCTATTGCACTCGTCCTTAACCCTATGGGTAAATTGACTTTTTCATAAAACATCACATGCTTATGTTCTTGATAAACACATACATATTTAGTCATTTCCTTCATAAAAACTTGAATTATTCTCAACAATTTTCTTCCAATTTGATGCTATTTCTTGATAAGAACTTCCTTTCCCACCTAAGTTGGAAGGTAAATCAGCTTCGACTTCAGAAGAAGAAACTCTTACCACCAATCTAGATTTCATTTTCTGTGACATGAACAATCTAAATGTAACAAATATGTATATAATGTATGTATGTACATAAATATATAGAAAGAGAAACAAAATAGGTCTTACCGAAACGTATTCAATATGAAATTTATATGAGGTGGACAATGAACGAATTCTAATAATTTTACTTTAATAGGATACGATTCCATGCTACTAACTAATTTTTTTATAACATTAGGTGTTAATTGTAATGCATGCCCAAAACTGACACCTTTCATATCTAAAATGGCCACAACTCCAGTTTTTGAGATCGTAGGTTCAAGTCGCATAAGAAGGTCAAGAATCATTTTACTGCACTAAATGTTGAGCATATTCTTAAATAGAATTAATGAAAACAAATTTAATTTACCTTTAAGACATTGTCAAATACATGTTTGGAAGGATCATGCGCAGCGGTTCTTATGACGACAATAAATGGTTCATTGGGTTTACTTTGAATTGGAAGAAATACTCCTATTTTAAATAACTCTTGCATCTCAGGCAAAAATGGATTACGATTTGAAAACCATTCTTTGCAATCTCTGCGCATTTTTGAAAATCTAAAAAGAAAAAATTGAAAATCTTTTGAGCACTTTTTATTAATTACGTATTTTGGATAATGTTTTAGTATTAAAAAACTCTAGAATTAAAATTAGGTTATACATTTTGCTTGTATGTATTACAACATTTCTGAACTGATAAGAGTATTTTTTAATTATTAATTTGAATTGACCTACAATATTAATGTTAGTGCAATGTAATGTTTTATATGATTAAATTTTCAGAAAAAGTACATATATGTATCTACAAACGCAAATGTACAAAATTGATATTTGTAATTATTTTTAATTTATAAAGCAAATTAAAAAACTTTAATTTAAAAAAAGTTGTTTGTCTTTAATTGCGTAGGAACGTAGGGTACCTAACTACCTGATGAATTTTTGAAGATCCTCGCGGTACTAATTAAAATAAATATATTTATTTGTTTTCTTTATTTTAGAAAATAAATAAAAATATTTATTATTTATTTCTTTTATAATTAATGAAGTATTATAAAAACTTAATGTGAAAATATTATAATGGAATAATTAAAAAAAGGGTTGGTTACTAAAAGGTTTGTGATTCAAAATTATCCTGAATCAAAATAAAATGTAAAAGAAAGTTAAAATTTATATATCTAAAAGTATATCTCATACTGTACATGCATACATTCTAGTAATGTAAACGTATTTCTAGGTTTCAACAAATGCAATAAAATGTACATTCTTAGGTTGAGATTTACATGTAAAACTGATTACAAGCAGATTACAAAAATAGTTATCGTAAAACTTTAGTATAAATACCTACCTATCTAAAACAAGTTCTTTGTTTAAAATGTTAGATCTTATCTCTAAGCAGCGAGTAGTTAAGTAAATCTTACTAAAAACTTACTAGAAAGAATTATTTTATTTTAGAAACCCCAAGTTAATTTTATATTCATTTTAAAAAACTTACTTCTCGATTTTCATCTTTGCACGACAACAATCATTTTTAGCACTTCTAATAAAATACAATATATTTAAATCGTCACTAGCTTTCACTTTTAAATTATGATTTTCTTTAATCCATTCCTTGATTTCTTTCATTTGAAGAACCTCTTCGGGGCTCATGTCCAAATTTTCGTCAATCATTTTGTAGGAACCATATGAAAGTGTTGATTTAAACTTAAAAATTTAAGTTTCTTTTGTGTTTTTGTTTTCTATTTATATTGTGATAAATATTCCTTTCTGTCGTACACTTTCAAACTCTCTGCGCTATTATAGTTTACGCATGCATATATAAATAAGTCAAGTTCTTATTCTTGTTTAAAAATAAAAATTCTAAATCACAACAAAATAGGTACACCTTACAATTACACCTGATCAACACTATCAGCGCTGTAGATTTGTTACGTTTGTAGTAAATTGAAGCGTAATATTTTAGCAGCTTTGTTACGGTTTGTTACAGTTTTCAAAAAGTTTCTTAATTTAATATCAACACTTTTACTCTACATTAAGGGTTCCCAAAATATTAACTTTACTAACTTATATTGTGAACACTGTATTGTGAATTTAACGTACTGTTTACATATACGTCAAAATTTTACAATTCGCTATAAAATTGTAATTGAAAATTTGACACATTTAAACACTAAGCCTTTAACAATTTAAATCTGTTGTCAAGTCGTAAATATTGCAGCAGTAAATTCAAAATTAGAGAATTATGAAGTTCTGTCTTAAAATTCTATTTTTATTTTGTGCTTTTGCACTTAATTACATTAAAACTTGCTTTTTTTCGCAGCTGTCAAAATTTAAAGGAAACTTTTACATTATTACTGATTATGTTTATAGCTTAAAGCAGTTATAACGTGCTGTCATGCGGTAAGCCTATCTTGATTTTTTGTATTATTACATTATAGCCTAGCAAATAAACAGTAAAAAATGAAATGTAACCAATTGTCAATGTCACTTAAACGGGTTGAAGTCAAAGCTTCTAAATAACTATAGATATTGACTTTTAAATAACTACACTTTGTCTAACGTTAATAATAATATTTACTATGAACTGACAATAGATGAACTAAATGAAACTTAGAACTATTTGTGCCGTCAAGTTCTAAATGATCGTTACTGCTACAATTCTTGAGCTTACAAGAAAATAAACCATCAGATAAATTTAATTCAATTTTTAGTTTAATGCCGTAGTTTGAGAAGTCCAGCTGAAACGAATTAAAGTTCCTGCTACGTTTATTAAAAAAATTTAATGTTATATACATTTATCCGTTTTCTCAACTTTGACATTTCGAATTACATGCATTTTTACCAACAAAAGCAATAATTTTCAATAAAACTAACTAATTATTTTATTTTAGTCAAATCAATTTTGTTAACGCAAACAAAAAAATTAATTTTGATAGCCGAAATTTATTTTCAATATTGAAAAAACTGCTTCAAAAATGTATAATTATCAAAGGTAGTCAAAACCTACAAGGTTTCTAATAACTCTAGATTGTCAAAATTTTTGTTTTTTGAAATAAATCTTTGTTGACTGCTGACAGTAGCTATTTATTGAAATAAAAATTTACCTTTGACAAATTTTTCAGTAAAAAACAGAGTACTTATAGATTATTTTATTTTTATTTAGGCCAGGCCTTGATATTTTAGTTAGTTCAAGGTATATATACACTGCACGCTTTCAGATTTGAATGCTGTGGTTTTCAATTCTTTCCGACAAGCTGATTTTGTAGTTTTGTAGTTTTTATTTAATTTCTTTCATCTTTTCGAATTCAATGCTTTGGTTTGATAGTCAAAATTTTTATTGTATTCAAACTAGGAACAAAGTTTTTTTTTTATCATTTTTCTTCATTCGAGTTGGAATTTTTCTTATTATATATAAATTTACGGGCAATATCTTAATTATACTTTAACAAAATCTGTTTAAACAATAAAAAAAAATAAATTCCAGATTTTTTCGATTTATCATTTTGCACTTTGAGGGAAATTATTTTAAATTTGTCATGGCTTTTTGCATTTAATAGTTTATTTAAAAAATAAAATGTTAGTTTTCATAATAAATTTATTTTGCTTTTTATTGATATAATTATTTTTTTTATGAGTTTCCTTATTTTAACAAAATTTAAAATTAAATTATAATATAGTAAGTATTTACATTTATAAATTGATTATTTTTAAAAATTTATATTTTATTTTCTTTATATTTTTACATTTTCTTTTTTTAGTTTGATTAATAAATTGTGTGATAATCGAATTAAACTGCAGTAACATACGAACTTAACTGTAGATATATAGCAATTTTATTAAATTTATTTAAATTATATCATTTAGTTATAGAAAAATAATTTATTTTTCTAATAATTACGGAGCTCAAGACACCTTATGGTCCCGTTAAGGATCAGATTTTAACAATGTTATTAATTTTATTAATTTACATTAATTTATTGTTATAAATATGTAATAATTTACAATAGTGTATGAAATTGAAATTCTTTAAGTTCTATATATTAAATATATTTTTATTTATTTGAATTATTTAATTAACATAATTATTTTTTCGATTTATTCATATTAAATTTCTTTTGCTCGTTATATGTAAATAATTATAATAATATGATAATATTATAAGAGCCTATTTATTAATTAACACAAATTTTTTTTAAATACTTTCAGAAGTTGACAAATATTTAAATAAATTGGGATATTCTTTATTGTAAGTACAATAAATTATATGATTTTTGTTTTACGACTATATAGAAATTGATATAAGAATTGGTCTTCATTTTTTATTTGTAGGAATATAAGTGAATATTTTACGGATACCATGTAAGGAATTTTTAATTTATGTATGTAATTCAGATAGTATTTTAAAACATTTATAAGTAAATATATAAGTAAAAATATTCTATTGTTTTATTGATTAAGGCACTTATAGCTTAAAGCAATAGATTTTTCGTTGAGATATTTATAAGATGTTATTTTATTATAAGTTTCGAATTTTTTTTGTCTACATTGAATTAAAAGAATATTTGACAGAAAAATTTATATAGAACATAATCAATTTTTAAATAGTTCTCAAATTATATATTTAAGGGAAAACTGATTAAAATTAGAAACTATATGTAAATTTACAAAAGTTCATTCGTAAAGTTTTTTGAAATATGATTTTCAGAAATATTGTAATTGAATAGGTATATTAATTTTTTATATTTGGGTGTTTGACATTATTGTTTGGTTTTAATAAAAAATTAATATTTTTTATATAAGAATTAATATTATCTAATAAACTGCATATTTTTCACAAAATAGTTTTGTATGCTTTATTATAAAAATATTTATTTGTAATTTTTTACATGAAAAAAGTTCTTAATTATCCATATAAGTTATTTAAATTTTTTTTTTGGTTTAAACTAACTACATATACGATATTGAAAATGTAATTAAAGGAATTTACTAAATTTTTTTAAGATTCTGCTTTTGATAGAAACTGTTTACTTAATTTTTATTAATAAGTAATTTTTAAAGAGAAAAATATAATACGCATAATTAACTACACTTTACTTATTTCTTTTTATATAAATCTAATATGTGAAAGAATTTTTGCTTTCACAGCTGTCATGAAATTGGAAGAGTGATATGTATAGCTTATATGAACCGCATAGATATATATTTTTGATATAAACACGAAGTAGATATGGAGGTAGCGTTGATATAAACATGAAGTAGATCAAAGCAATATAGTTTGTAAAGAAGCACTTTTCTCTTGAAATTAAAGTAAAACAAGTAAAAATGAATTTTCAATTACTTTCATTAAAAAATTTCAAATACAGTATGATTGCATACATACTGTTTACTTTTCACTTTTAGAAATTTTAGAAATTTAGGAAAGTTTGCAGCTTCGGAAATTTAAGACATTGAAAATTTAATTTTTCAAAATTTCGAGAGGTGATAATTTGAGAGAGCAAGGACTTGGAAACTGTTTTTTTTTGACAAAATAAATTATTTATCAGGGTCTAAATTTCAGACTCCTACAATTTGAAAATGAGTTTTAAATTTGGCAAAACGATAACGGTATCTTTCTGTGTTTATGATTTTTGTTTCGATACAATTAATGATCAAAAAAAATTTTTCTTTCATTGTTTCTATAACAATCTATTTGTGTACAAAATTTTAGTTTTTTTGTCTTAAAGGGGGTAGAAGTTTTGTAAACCGACGGACCAAGTCAAACTTATCAACAGTTTGTTTTTTAAATTATTATAATTCGCAAATTTCATAAATTTTAGAAAATACTAATAATTTGCGTAATTTCTTATAGAAAAATCGAAATGAAAAGTAGGATTAAAAAAAAAACTAAAACTAAGAGAGCAACGCGTGAAAAGATTTATTTTTGAAAAACCACATTCATATCATACGCCACCGCATTTAACATCACTAAAGTGTATTTATTATGGAGAAACTTTAGAATTTAAAAAAATTAGTTGATCTACTTAAAATACCATAATATATTGTGTATTATATACTGATATTATTGAATGAACTTTTAGGAAATATAGAATGTTATATAGGTAAAATACAGAAAAAAGATGTTTCGGAAACTTTAATATTACAAAGAACATTTGATAAAAATGACTATAGGGAAAATATATAATTTTGTTTTACGAACACTTAACATATATATATATATATAATGTATTATGCCAAAATATATTTAATATGACAAATATTTAAAACATTTATAATAAATGCTTTATGATTATTGTATTTGCAGTTATTACAATTCGATGAAAAATAAATTTTTTGGTATTCATTTTCATTATATTCAAAGTTATACATATTTTTTTCGATATTATATTGTATTAAATTTATGATCATTTTTACAATTATTTAAAAAAAAACATATTTCAGTATAAAGCTTAAACCATTTTCATACTTATTGTTGTACTATATTACATTATAAATTATTTTTATATTTACACTAAGTATGTAACATCACATTTATTATACAATTGAAATCCTTTTTTCTTTCATTAATTAATGTTATGTTTCTTGAAGAAATATTCAATTAGAATTAGTTGTTTATAAGTATAATTTACATATTACATATATTAATTACAATAAGAAAAGGCTTTAATGTTACCTATACATGTTGAGAATAAATTATAATATTGTGGTTTCATATACAATTTTGAACGCTAGTGTAGTACTATAACTTTTATTATATGTTGCATTCATCTATCAGCAATTTCAAATTTAAAAAATGTGTTTTTTATACGAGTATTACTATTGTTAACGCTGTTCAACATTTAAAAAATTATGTTTCATTTCACACTCCTTACTCTGTCTCTAATAAATATTTTTTGTATTTGTAGAAATTATAATTACTGAACAAATAGAATAAGTTGCATTTAAGTAATGGCACCATATATTTGAATTTGCAGGACAGAGGATGTGGAATGAAGTTTGAAAATATTAAAATGATATGAAAATATTAAGATATTAAAAATTATTCAAACTCAGATATTAAAAATTATTTCTCTATGTACATTATTACATAGGACTTTATTTTCGTATCGGTCCTGATTACTAAAGCAATTTTTTATTTGTTATACCTAATACAATTATTTTAATAATAGTTTTATAGTGTGTTAAACAAAAATATAAGTTAAATTTGAGCTTATTACAAAACACTAAACAAAAAATAAGGTAAAACTGTTAAAGATTTAAAAACAAAAAGAAAACAGCGTTTCTACGAAATAGCAAGAAAGTTTTTTTTCCTAACTAAATTATTATTTTTAATCATATGAAAGTAAAGCCGAAATATTGCTCTGTAAAACTACATATGAAATGGGAAAATATTTGCAAAATCAATTTGCAAGTTTAGTAAATTAATTTTTCCTAATATAACCAACATAAAATTTCTGTTATATAACCATGGAGTAAATCATAATAATATCAAAAGTATTATGATATACAACGTTGTCAAGATGAGACTATATGACCCTCACTGTTAAACATAATTATTTGTAGATACTGTACGCGGTGGAGAAGAATATGTTTGTATGTTTAATAGCTTTTAGTTTTACAATTTTTTTGTATTTTTGTATTAAAACTTGTCGCCCAATTTTATTTTTCGACGTCTGCCAGTATAGGTTGCGTAAAATTTGATGACCATGACGATAAAATTTGAATCAATGAATTGATTTTAATGTCAATATACAATCTAAAGTGTAAAGGCTATATGCAATTAAAATTTTATATATCTTTAACGAGTCAACTTATGATACGAGTATTATATTTCAAAACACGTGATTCGAACTGTCAAAGCAACAGAGTTCTTCGAAAAAAAATATGAATGTAGGTAGTGCCATAGTGCTTTTCTTGAGTTATCTTTATTTATCTCGAGAAAATAGTAAAAATTTTTTTTTTTATTTTCGTATTGTCATTTATTCTATAGTATATGAGTAGAGAAATAAAATAATTGTTTTTTGTTTTCCTGTCAAAATATAAGTTTTCAATAATATGAATAAGAATTACGAGTAGTTCTTATGAATAATTCTAGTTTAAGATCGTAATAAATGTTATGCATTTATAATTAAAAATAAAACTTACTCCTTTAACCGAATTAAAATTTTTAATTTATATCAAATTCAAGAAGAATAAATTAAATCGCGTAAGTGAATCAATATTATTGGCATTATTTAGATTATTAATATATTTTTTATAACTACTTATATTTTGTATAAATAATATGTGTTTCTGTTAGCTAGATTTTTTTTGGAAATCTATACGATAAAATAATTTACAGAATATTTAAACAGCTTTAAAAAAATCGCTTAAATAACAAAATGAATGAATATAGAATGACGGTCATATTTTAATTAATGTAATTTTTTAAAGACTTAATTTAATTAAAAAAAAAACATAAATTTATCTATAAGGTTTAATAAAAAAGGATTTTTTTTTTTGTTATTTTAATTTTTACAAAATTACTTTAATTTATAGATTTTTAATGTTTGTGATTTGATTTTTACATTTATATATATATATATATATATATTTTAAGTCTTTACTAAAGCTAAATTGGTTTGATTTTAAAAACATTAAGTAAAAAATGATTTTAACTTACATATTATATTATTATAGATAATTATTATGATTTCAATTGACATAATTTTTGTTTCTTAAAAATTAATGATTTTATTAATTTTTGACTATAATAAATTTTAATTTTTAATTAGCTATACGTAATTTTTTTTCGTTAATTTCTTAAAATTAATGAAATCTTTTTTATTCTTTAAACATTATTTGGCTCTGATTTTTTCTTTTGGTTTGTTAACATACAATGAGAATATAGAGTATTTTTAAGTTTTTATATTTATTTCTTTTAAATAATTATGACATCGAATAATAATATTGAAATTCGAAAAATTGATAAAAAAAATATTAAAGATTTTTCATAGTATAGAGTGGTGAGCCGAAAAATTTGAATAATTGAAACAAATAATTTAAGAAAATAATATTTATTATTAATTAGGTTAAATATGTTTAAATTAAAAAACTGATATCCTTATTTCTCTTTTCAGTTTCCACTGTTTTGAGCATAAAACGTAATAAAAATTATTTTATAATTTATTTAATAATTTTAAAATATTTAAATTTTCTAGTAGCTGTCTTGCTCAAATTGAAAGTTTAATAAATATGAAATAGAACTGTTTAAACATTTTTAAAAACATGCGTAATATCAAAATTCAGTACAAAAATTCGACATTTCTTATAAATATAACATAATCTTTTTCTATAATTTAAAATATTTTTAAAGCATTTTCATAAAAATTGTGCCGTTTTTGCAACACAGTTTTTTTGTACATATTACTTTACATATTAATTTTATAGTTTCGATTTATCGAACGTACTTTCAATCGCGTACATGACAAAATTTAAGATTAAATGCTCGACAAAGTATAATTACTATATATATATATTAGTCTAAAATTATTTCTGATGCAGTTCATTTAATTATAATAAAAATAAAAATTAGCTAATCGTTGATCAAAACTTCAGCAAAAAAATGTTTGTCGGAATACCTAATGAGAACAGAGTAATTTCTATTATTTGTCGTTAGAAATCATGTAAATCTTATATTTTCTTGTACATATATATATAAATTCTACAGTAAATTAAATCAAGATAAAGCTGAATTGTTGAAAAATTCTTAGAAAACAAAAATATTTGAAAGAAATAAACCAATTGGAAATTATTATTTAATTTTTTTAAGAAAATCCTAGCTATTGAAATTTATTAGAACACTAATTATCAATAGCTCACCACTTCTCTGTATTGTAAGTATTTCAACTATTTTACATAGTAAAAAATATATGTAGAATGAAATAGAAAAAGAAAAAGGAAAAGGAAAAAGATTACATAAGTTTTTTGGTCTTTTTGGTTTTTTTTTTGTTTTTTTTTTTAATTTTTAGTGTAAAAATTTTTAATAATATTTTTTTTTTTTCTTTTGTTACTCGTAAGCTTTTGGTCATGAATATTACAAATGTACATATATATATATGCGTACATACATATATATTTTCTAATTACTACTCATATTAAGTATTTTAAAATGCCTAGCCGAAAACATAGATTTAAATTGAATAATTAAATTTTATATGTATTTTTTATTTTTATACAAGATTTCGGTTACTATAAAGGAAATTGAATGAAACAAAATGAAATTATTAAAATATTTAATTATAAATTTTTATTTAATTATAAAATTTATATTAATCTTTTGTATTTTAAATTATTTAGTAATTAAATATTTAATTTGAATATTTTTTAAGATTTATTAAAGATACTGAAATGTTTATTTGTTTACATGCTATGTAAATGTTACTTTTGTTTATTAAGATGTAAAATTTAGATTAGCTAAAGATTTTTCAAAGTATATAATATAGGTATATAATTAATTTCATAAGTTAAGAGTTCAAAGAATATCCTCTGTTAAAGTAAAGTTTAAGAGTTGTTAGTAAAGTTAAGATAAAGTTCAAAGTTAAAAAAAAAATAGTTAAATTTTATATGTACACATATAAAGTTTAAATAATTAAAAAAATATGAAATTTTACAGGTTAGCGGTTAGTAATTACGTATTACTTTTAAATGATTAAAATTTTAATTTATTTTGTAATTGTCAACAGATTGATTTTTCATACACTCTTTTATTTGTTCCCAAGGAAATCGATACCTTTTAGTTGTGAAGCAATATTCATAATGTCTTTCTTATGATTGAAATGTTATTGAAATTGGACAAAGGAACCTATGGTGCTCGGATAGTAACTATTTAATATTTTTTATATTAAATATGACCGTATCTATAGGATATAGTTTAATTGGTTAAAAAACAAAATTTTTAATTAATATTGTTAAAATATTGTACCTGGGAATAAGACTAAGTCGAAAGAATGCCGAATTTAATGTTTAGTTTAAAGTTTAAATAGGGTTTTGTATTCAGAGTTCCTATATAGAAACCATAACCTTAACATTATCATTTTTTTTTATTTTGAAGGAATAGTTAGAAAATCCTTCAAGGAGTATATGTTAAAAAAATTTATTAAAATTCGAAAATTAATAATAATTTTTATTTTTTAGTTTTTTTTTTTAGTTATTTTATTGTTGTTATTATTTTAAATTGTTCTTTTTTTTATATTATTATATTCGAATTTAATTTTTTTCTCTTTTAAATAATTACTCAATTTAAATGAATGTTTCCGAGGCTAAACGTTACAAAAATTCCTGTGTATCATGAGGTGGTGACGGTTCTGAAACAGAAAGAGTTGGTAATTGTGTATTAATTTTCGGTGTATTATGATTTTTTAAATTTATTAAAATTGGACTATGATTAGGAGAACCTGATGGTGATCGGCTATAACTAGTGTTTGGTGTTGAAGAAGTTGATTTTTGGTGTATTAATTTTTTTGTTTGTTTCGTTAATACTGGAGCTTCCCTCGGTGGTATAATAATTGTTGTTTCAGAATCTACATCAATTGATTTTGATTTTTTTGATTCTTGAGAATCTTTATATTGTTGTTGTTTTTGCTGTTGACGTAAATGTGGTGGTGGTGTTTCAATTGATATACTACCTACGACTGCATTTGCTGTTGTTACTGTAGCTGTATGAGAACCTGGTGTTATTATTGTTGGCGGTTGAATTGTTGTTATTGGTATAATATTATTATTTAATGTAGTTGTTGTAGTTGCTGTCGATGTAAAATTTTCATTTTGTAATTGTATTTTTTGATTTTGTGGTATTGGCATTGAATGACATTCAGCTAATTCAATTGATTCACCTTGAATTGATTGATTTTTTGTTCTAGTTGTTGCACCATCTTCTGTATGCCATTGGCGTTTATTTGAGAAATTTCTCTGCAAAATAAATATATTGTATATGAGTAATTAAGTAAATATGTATTCTTTTAAATATAGCGTTTTATTTACTCAAAATCTTTATTTACTTTTATTATGGTATTAATAAAGATAATTCTTCACTAAAATAGTATTTAAATTCCATTAGATTATTGCAGATGTTTAATAATAAAAGGAATTTTCGTAAATGGGATATTTTGCTAAAATTTGGGCGTTTTAGATATTGCATACATACATACTCTAAAATTTGTTGGTTGCAAAAAAATAGAGTAGGTAATAAAACTAAAATACTGGAAAATAGCACTTTTTACTTAACAATCCCAATTTATGGTAAAGGATATATGCACTTTTTAATTTGTACTTGCTTACGTTATTTGAAATATAAGAAGTCGTCTTTATATTTTGCTATTATATAAAAAAAATATAATTTTTTTTATGTCGAATATTTGAATTATCACCACTTATTCTGTACGTGAGCAGCATTAAAATTACATTAAATTTCATTTTTCCAATTTTCCTTCAAAATTTTTAATGTAGTTATGAATTTTATTTTCTTACAAACATCGGTACGAATATTTTGAGCATTTATTTTTATTAAAGAAGTTATTCATGACTTCATATTGTATAAAATTAAATTCATTTTAAGTAATTTCAGAATCTTAGGTAATATATTGTGCGTGAGTATGTCGATTTTCAATACAATAAAATCTTGTGTAGAAATTTCATAAATAAACTAAAACTAACACTATTTTTTGAGTTTAGAGTTTGAAGCAAAGTATCGTGATTTCACTACAAAAGAAAAGAACTGTAAGAGAACAATGTTAACAAAATTTTACTTATATAGAACTTAGGAATTTAAAATTTTATCAACATATTACACAAATGAAAAAATTTCTTAATTTATTTTTTAACAATACGGCAAAATCTTTAACTTTTAATTACGTTCAAACAATAAAGCTTAAAGATCTAATTAACAACACATAATTACTAAAGGATGATCGATAAGATCTTATGCTGAAACTTTTCTCAGTTTCTCTTTTATTGTTCAATTTGTAACTAATGAAACAAAACTTAAACAATTTCTGTAAATTTTGTGATAAAATTCTTAAAACAATTCTTATTTTTTTAAATGAAAATTTTTTATCAATAATGATAAAAATTGCCAAACATTCATTTTTGAAATTTTGTCTACATATTTTTATTCGCCAATTCATTAATTCGTCGCCGTATATGCTAACGGAATTTCGAAAAGAAAAACATGATAATAGAAATGAAGACATGATAAGCGAAAGAAAAACATGATAATTTAAAAGTTCCAATTAGCTTGATTTTATGTAAAATGAGGGATCTGAAGCGTGAAATTTATGGTTTTAGTTTATGATTGTTTAAAGATAACAATATGAAAATAATTTTCAGGTTTCAGTTTTTTATTAAGAAAATGGTCAAGCATATTGAGTTTTATTGGCATTGAAAATATTCTTAAAGAATATTTTTACCACTCCACCGATACAAATATTTTTATTTAGGCAAGTTCTAATATGGACTCGATTTGACAATATTTTAAAATGAAGATATTTATTAACAAGGTCTTAAAAGTAAAATCTGTCTATTCTCATGGCAATCTATTAGAAATTTAAAAAATACCAGGGGACTGTATATAAAATTATTAATGTGCTTCTTTGTTAAACTTCGATTCTCTAAAAACTTGTTTTGTAGGCATTTTCAAGTTTTTTAATAGGAATCAAAACAAAAATCTCAAAAAGTAATTGTCAATACAATAGGACTTATAACTTTTCATGTTTTTAAACAAAGAACTTATTATTATAAAAGAATAGAAAACAATATTATATTTAAAAGAAAATTTAAATTTATACTTACATTTTATATACTTAGGTATTACATAAAAAATTTGTAGACAAAATATTAAAATTTACTTATACTTGTATAAAGTCCTTTATTTATAATTGAGTAAAGGACTTTTAATAATAAGTCTTTTAATTAAATGTTTCAAATGGAGTGAGAAATAAATTTTTAATTATGTCTATTGAAGTTTTTAACAATCTGTTAATATAACATTCTGTTATATAAGAATATATGTATGTATGTACTTCTATTGACTTATATGTATTTATTATGTCGCAAATTAAATAAATAGGTGAAATTTTTTACGATTTATATATAAAGAGCCTTTGTGTTCCAATGAACAAAAATTTATTGTTTTAATTATATTTTGAGAATATAAAAACCTAATTAAATTTATTTATTAAGTATTTGATGAAATATGTATGGCTATATAGGGTGTTTCTGTTCTAAAAGATAAGATTTCAAGGTATAGCTTCCGTTTTTTTTTTAAACTTTTGTCAATTTGGATTATTTCATTTGCGTGCAAGTTTTTTATTATAACGTAATCATAATAATTTTGTTCAAATATTGTAACAGTTATAGTGAATATATTTTAAATATTGAGTGGATTTGGCAGTATTTCCATTGTAACTGTAATGCTGCAAAAATTTGATTAGTTCTCAGGTTTTGTTTGATTTAAGGTTTTTAAAGAAGATGAATGGAAATTATTTCAAATAAATTAAGAAACTTTTGAGAAAGAATATTAATGTTGAAGGAATTTGTGTAGAGGTTTACGAATATTTTATGTGTATAAATTTATATTTTTTGTCTATCTATATTAAATTTATGAGTGGTGAATGCTGTTACGTGTGAAAGCATAAATAATTCTCCTTTAGAAAGTATGATATTTTTTAAGTATTTTCTTTTCCTTTTAGTTTAAATCATAAATAAATATAATTATTATAAATACGTATATGTATATGCATGTTATACAAATGTATGTACTTAACCTGTACTTATAAAAGTATAATTTTTATATATATGTCTAGAATTGTAAACAAAAGCAACACTAGAATATTACATTATTCAGTAGATATACGGTAATGCACTCACTGATAATATGATTTATTAAAGGATTTTTATATTTTATGGAATTTTTTTCCTTTAATATTTTATTTTTGAAATTGAAAATTGTGTAAGCTTTTTAAATATAAATTTGATTTTGTTTTCCTTTTCAATGAATTTTTAACTCATAAATACTTTCACACAACATCAATATTTCTTTTTATCCTTTCTTCTTTTCTTTTCTAAGTTTAAAAGGTTTCCAAATATGATTTTCATAACTGCTTGTCGGCCAAGAAGAAATACCATCTTATGAAGTTTTGGTGATGAAATCGAAACAAAATTGAAAATTTATGAATTTCTTTTTTTAGAATAGCCTTATATGAACAAAATAAAATTTTTAATTTTGTTGAATTAAAAATAGAATATGGTTCAGATTTCATTCTATTAAAGAGCAATAATCGAAGTTTTCTTTTATAAATATCATTGGATTTAAATTGAAATATGAGATTTTGAAAATTTTTAGTTGAAAAATTCAATTTTTCTCAATTATTTTTAATAATTTGTTATATAATTTTTCTTTGTTTTATAATTTTGAATTCATTCAATTTAGATACTTTGAGGCTACAAAATGTGTAGGTACTAAATATTTGTTATGCTTTATTTGCAATTGAATTTTGGTTTTTATTGCTTTAAAAAATCAATTTTATTGCTGAAATTATTTTCATATTAAAAATTAAATATTATTTTTTATATGAAAATAAAAAAATTTTATTATTTGAAAAAAGATATTGTTTAATTTATTAAATGAATATTATTTAATTTATTCAGAATTTTGAAATATTTTTTTTGCTGAATTTTTATTACTTCAATTCTATTATGTCAAATATGTAATATAAAATTTAATTTGAAAATGAAATATGCCCGAGTTAAAGGATTATAGTTTGTAAGTTAGACTTTTTTTATATGCATCTATAATTAATGATAACAAGGCTTATAAATATACCCAAAGCCTATTTTTCACAAAAATTATTAAAAAAAATTCAAAAAAAGATTGAACTTTAAAAATTTCGCCGTGAAATATGCAATTTTTTAACATGAAATCTTTCAGCAAATTTTAACTCTTTGCAGTAAAACAAAGACAAACAGCAAACAAATGTTGAAATACAACATTTGAACGTATTAAATTAATCAAATATCATTCCACTACAGTAAGCCACAAAAGTGCAAAAACAAGCATTAACTTTTATCAACCCTTAAACTTTTTCGTGGAATTTCAAAAGGTCATAACTCCGTTTTGAAATTTTAATCAATTTAAATTGTATAAATTTTTAAAAGCAAATTTCTTAAACCTTAAAAAAAAAAATTTTTACAATTTTTACATAAAATTATTTTGATTTTCAAATGAGAACATTCAGTTTTCTTATAGATCTTCATTAAAATTTCATTTATATGTATATAGCATTATTATTATATCCTTGACATAAATAGGTGTACTTTTATGTTCATAGTAAATAATTATGTTCATATATGCCATACAATAAATATGTTCGTAACATATAAAAACATTATTAATTCTTAAGTGTCTGAATGATAAGATTTTTATAAGCTTTGAGAATTTTTGAAACATTGCTCATAACGCAATTAATAATGTTAATTCTCAAAAGGAGGATTGGAAGTAAAAATTACAAAAGAATGAGTATTGTATCCGTTGAGGAAATTCAGAAAAAAACATACGTATGTATATGTATATAAAATTTTTTATTTTTTTTGGCGTAAATTTTTTATAAATGGAGGTTTTAACATTGAATGTTTAATTTTCACCTTGAACGCTTTAATTTTTTTGTTTTCATAAAAATCGATTTGAAAAACATTTAATATAAAAGTAATTTTTTATCACAAATTCTCTAGATAATTTCTCTTGTAATTTTGTAAGTAATTTTTGAAAAAAAAACAAAAATTACATTTAAAAATTTTACATAATTTTTTGATTCGATATTACTTTATTTGTACTGTAAATTCAAGAATATGAATTTTATTTCTATCATTTAGATTTTAAAGAATAAACTTTTTACAATAGTAAGTATTGGTTAAAT